GCCTAAATGTCAGCGTAAGCAATTTCAGCCCTCGGGATGTGGTGAGAAGCCGGCATCGAACTCAGGATGGTCTACGACAGACTGAATGAGGAGCCACACGCCAGAAGAGATGCTGCAATGCTGAGGTGTGCTCTAGGAACTTGTTTTCTGCTGGGGTCTTCCTGGATGTAGCTACACAGTTAAATAATGGCAGGCTAGAGAGCAATCTAGTCCTTGCGTCAACGCTAGAGTTCAGAGCTAGCTCTCCCCAAACCCCCAGTCCACATTCACAGCATGTAGGCATGGCCCTACATCTCCTCTGGGTCCCATGAGATGTCTCTAAGTCGTACCTGTTACTTTGGGTGGAGGAGCGGTTGGCAGGGCAAGAGGTCAGTCTGAAACAGAAGCAGGGAACGAGCTAGAAACAGCAGAGCAAATGTTTGGGACCACTGCTCTACTGTGTTCCCTGGTCCCCTCTTAACTGATAGGACATATATCCAGCCACCCAATGCATGCATAGCATTACGTGCCCCTCAGCACCACTGCACCTCTTCTCTTGCACCCCACCATGCCAGGCACCCCAGATCCAGGGGACAGCAGCAGCACTGAGTACACAGACAAGAGCAGGACAGCACCAAGACAAGGATTGGGGAGGGTGGTCCCAAAACATGAGACTTGCCTAAGAGGTCCCAGTGTGAACCACCACAATGCCTGCCTCATCAGACACCTTCCTTGCCTTGAAAAACTCCATCCCTGGTGAAGTACCCTGTCTCTACACAGGTGATGCCTGACAAGGTGCCTAGCAAAGGGATCCATGCCTGAGGCCACATCTGCTTCCCAGCTGGAGACTGCCGGGGTGCGAGCAGCCAGGGCTGGGGGCTTGTACACCTGGAGCGTGCTCCAGTCCCACCGGCTTGGATCAACTACGTGTTTAAAATAAAGTACCAGATCTAGTGTCCCGAGGATCTAGACCTCCTATGGATTTTTGGTACTTTATTTTGGTATGGAAACCAAAAGCAATGATGTTTATATGTATTATCAACGGTTCAGAGTTACATGTGAAACCATAAGGGACTTGGCTGATTCTAAGGTTCTTTTTTTTAGTATTACTCTTTGCCATCTTTCCTGCTATTTGAATGTACCTCCTAAATGAATTGTCCATTGCCCACATGGTTTTCAAAAATAATTTATTTTTAGCTAACGTGTTCCAGATAGATGGAACACAAAACATGTGTTAAAAAAATAAAAATGAAATTAAAAAATCCTCCCCTTAGCAAACAAGTTCCCCCCAATCTTTACAAAAGAAGGCCAACTTTTTTCCTTCTAGTTCCCCTGCTAAATTTCCAGAAGGTCATTAATCATAAAAAACCCAAATTGCATAAATTGTAGAAAAGCCAAAGGAGCTGCCTGTATTTTTTTTATTTTTTTTTTAAAAAAGTTCCTGCCAGAATCTCCCCCAACCTGATGATTACCTTTCCTCTGTCAGTTGTGAGGACTCTTTCTCAGCCTTAGTACACACCTTTTCTCCTGGCTGGCAATGTATGGGCTGAGCCAAGCATAAACCAGCATATCATTATTTCAAACAGTCATGTCTTCCTTTTGCACTGGTGTATAGTTAAATCAATATACTTAAAACACTCTATGTTCCTTTTCCTCTGTGCTTTTCCAAAGGAATGGTGTTTCTGTTGTATTTCAGGTGACAACCAAAAATTATTCAAAAGGTTTACTGACTTGGATAAGGACTTGAGAAATAATAAATAACAAAAAAGAAGTATCTGTTGTTTGCATCACTGAAATGGCTGCCCATACAGCAATACACCACTGAAGCACATGTAACAAGTTATTATTTGGTCCTTCAGCCCTCCTGCATTTCAAAATTGAGCATATATTCAATGCAAAGATTGAGAAAAATTGACTTAGTATCTGTCTGTAGGTTCTGAGGATATTCTGCACTGGGCTGGCAGTAGCTCCACCAGTACAAAACCCCAAGTCCAAGGGTTCAGACCCGCTGAACACAGGTTTTACATGTCCACTACTTTATGAGCTTTAAGCAAAGTAAGGTGGGCGCTTGCGGTCCTTACTGTACATTGAGATAGTATGTCTACAAAGGGAGGACATATCACTAGAATAGCTCTATCAGTGTAGTTACACTGGTACAACTATTCCCAATATAGACAGGACCCTAAGCAGAAATCCCTGTGACAGGCCATGTTTACCACTGGCCTATTTGTAAGAAAGACAGCTCTTAGCTTAGTTCAAAAACCAGCGTATAAAATGTTCCTTGTTACCTGTAAGTGGACAGTGATGATTATAGCTCAGTCTATGTTATTATTGCCTGATTTTCCCAGTTTGGGTTTTCACATATTGACTCCTTACTCAAGGTCTTTTAACATAGATTTGAAATGTGAATATGTTTTATTTTTTCCCCAGTAAATATACAATACACACTTCAACAGTACTATTAACCAACTTTTTATGCCAATTAAACTTTGCTGCACTAACAATACCAATGAAACACATTAAGAGGTCATACTTTTTCGTGAACAAACTGTAGCCAATAAACAAGTTTTTTAAAAAAACAAATTAAAAAACAATTCTAAGTGCTGCCACAACATCCCTTTTCTTTAAACACATTATTCACAATAAATGTTTTCAATTTTTTAAAAAAAAGAAGAATACTTCTTTTAAAATAGTAAATTAAATGGCATTTTAAAAAATATGTACTGTGGTTCATTGGAAGTACACTGTATAGAAAAGAGAGAGAGAAAAAAGAAGAAGAGACATCACCTGTAAGATAATGGAGACACTTTGCGATACACAACAACATCTTATGTAATATTGTAAGCAAATTATTAATGAACAAAAATGTACAGAAGCAGATGGACAAGTTAGTGAATATCATGGTACTGCACAGCTTTAATACTGACACACATTTACTTTCCAGTGGAAGAGATAAAACACGTATTTGAAAGTAATTGGGATGGCTTTATCAACGTCTAATGATACTGAATTTTTAATAGAATCTAGTGAGTAAGGTGTTCCACCAAAGCTCAGCACAAGCTTTTGCATTAAAAGGGAAAAAAAAAATCTGATGGTTACTGAGTTAAACATTTTCCAGAGAATTAAATTTGAATTGTACTCTGAATAGTCTTCTCTTCATACGATAATACCAGAATGAAAAATATCCATACGTAAATATGATGCCTTCTTTATCTTGCTTGAACGTTTTTGCACATTTTTAAGTAATGCTTTTAACTATAATGGTTTAACAAGCAGGAAAATTACATATATTCATTGGTCACATATATAAATAAATGCATACAATTTTTTCTCAACTTTTTTGGTTTGTAACCTGCTAAATAACAGTCTTGACCTTAAGGAAGTTAACTAGCATTTTTTTAATATTCAATAGTGCTGAGTTATAGTTGATGGCCGTAGTGTTTTATCTTATCATGGAACAAGTTAATGAAATGAAAAGCAACACATATTTAGCATTATAATTTACTTCTCTAAAATTCTGCCATTACTAAAAGTGTTCTTAATACTGGTGAGCTCCAAGGCAATATATAAAACAACATAGACTGGTTATACGAAAAGGGTATTCAAATGGAAACTTGTGTTCACGGTCAGATAACTAACAGAAATAAGCTGTAGGATGCAATATTTAAATTAAGCATCAAATGAGTGGGCTATCCACATATAATATTCTACGAAAAGTTTGACAATTTACTCATTGAGATTTGAGAGGTACAGAAGATTTGAACAAAGTCATGAAAACTAATGAAGAGACAGGATGCTGTCATTAATGTCCACTTACAGAGTTTGGTTTATTCAAAAAGTGTATAAACATGCGTTATTTCCTCATCATAGTAGGGTTTGAAGCCACTCACTAAAACACAGGTCAAAGATTTTCTTTGCTTATATCCAACTTTTTGGATGTATTGTATTGCCAGAAATGGACTTCATGCAAGCCAAAAATAATTTGACCGTTGCTTTCCTTCAAACACTAAACATTTTCCTACAAATTTAGTGGATCCAGCTTCAGCTCTCACAGACTTCAGGTAACAGAACACAAAGGTTTCTTTAGACTGCATCAAAACAATTAATGTCATGAATTTCAGTGGTGCAGCTCTATCTATTGTACTGTACATGTATTGGAAAGATGAAATAAGATACTCTGACATTTCAATTTTTTGGAAGCAGCCTGAATATATCTTAATAATAAATTGCATCCTTAACTACTTAGTAGGTATTCCTTGAGTTTATATTGTTTGTTTCTCCAGGGAAATCTCCATCTTATATTTTGGGTTGGAGAAATTAACGGTAATAATTCTTTTAAAACTGCAATATAAAAACAGCTTTAGTGAAACACCTTAAGTTCTTTTGTTTGTAGCAAGGTTTGGTTTTCTTCCCCTTTACTTAGTGGCATGGGATGGCTAAAAACAGATACTAAGGGCATCATTCTAGTGAAAGGGTCTAAGCCATCTCATGCTACCTTTAATTTTCATATTCACTCTTTAATCTCACACTTCCCACTTCTGACCCCTTCTTAAATAGGAAGAGCAACTACGTTGCTTGCTTTTAAAAGATCTAAATCTGTCTCTAATGTCTTCACTGACATCAGTTTTGCCTGTCACTTTCTCATTTCTACACCCCAATGGAAAACCACCTAACGTACTCCTTTACATCCAGCATTATCCAAAGTAGCTTACAGTACGTAAACCTTCTTCACACATTCAGTCTCTTTTTTTCTTCATGTCATGAGGAGTAGAGTTTTGTGCTTATCACCAAATAAAATTGCAGTGCAAACTTTAAACATAAAAGTTACACAATTAAAAGTTAATATATGGCACCACAGCCTATTAATTCACATATAGTACAACAGACCAATAAAAACAGACATGAATATGAACATAGCTAAAAAGAAGGTGAGCTTGCATAGCAATGCAATAAAAGAAATTATATACAGAAGGAAATCCTTTTCATCCTGGAGGGTGATTTTTTTTTTTCTTTCTTTTCTATATACTCCTGACAAGGAATAGTTTAAGGTGGATGGTGTATTAAAGAGAAGAACACAAGTAAAGTATCTGTGGGATATGTGTGGCTGTGTGTCTTTACATTGCATTTACAGTTCTTTTAATAGTACATAAATAAAGAAAATGTTCATTGCACTGTTTAGTGTCATCACTTCCATGAGTTCAGACCTGATGGTCCATCAGAGCAGCTTGCAATGTGTCTTCTCAACTACTCTATAGAGAGAAACAAAGAGAGAGAAAGAGGTTGTAATAAGGAGAAACAACAAAACAAAGCCTATGGCAATATTACTGCAGCACAGGATGAATATTCAATACGTTAGGAGAAGAGAGCTAATTGCTTCTAAGTTGAAAAGCAATGGATGCTAAAATTCAGCACTTACCAACACCATACTGAGACAGCACATATCAGGGTTTGTGGATCACCATTATCTCTCTGACAAGCGACTGGACAGTAACTGTTGGGAGGTATTGAGGGTTTGACTGCAGCAAACGGGAGGCAGACATGCCAACAGCTACGGTCCTTTTACTAGTAAACATACCAGTATGCCTGAGCTGGCTGGGATATCGATGTGCTACTTCAAACAATAGAGTCAAGCCTTTTGGCATCTAGTACTACCATCACATACAGAGCATTAACATGGCTTTATACCAGGTTTAACAGATATTGAGTGATAATAGAAAAAAGTTTGGAAAATAATTCCCCTGGCCTTGGAAGTTGAGGAAAGAGTTGGGATGTACAACTGAAAAACTGGGCTACACAGCTGAAAAAAGAGGACCTCCATCTAAGGTCAAAAAGAGCAGAATACTGCCCATCAAGCAACAGAAAGTTAAGGAGAAGGCATCACAAGCTTGCCATGTCCAACAAATTCAGCACCCTTTTCATTCACTCCTCTGAGAGAAACTGCCAATGGCATTTCCAAGACAAGCACACTCCACTTTGCCAAGAAAATTCTAAATTACTAGAATTTCTTTTCAAATTTTCCAGTGTTTCACTAGCATTGCATGCTGAAAGGTGTACTATGTAGATAACACTGGCATGGCTTACACAGATTTGAACTGGTGCAAACCAAAGAACAGAAGAATTTAATATGTTCATCATCACAGGCAAAACACCTCAGAAGGCAAAAAGATCCGGGTAAAATTCAATCTGATTATCACACTCAACTTCCTCCTCTCTTCAGAACACATTTATATTTTTTCTCTTTTTGTCTTTTTGAGAGTTTGAACTATAACTAGAGATAAACTTACATAATTCACCAGTAAACTGTCCTTGACTGTTTGATCCCACATAGCCTACATCGAGAAGGTCACTGGCATTGCGTTGGTGACCTCCTCGCAAGACTTCACCTTTTCTAGGTCCGGTCGATCCTTTAGAAGAAGCTGTTCCTGAAGAGCTGTGGCCGCCAGGGGATGGGAAGTTGGGTTTACTGTATGGTACAAGTGCCTCTTCTAGAAAAGGAAAACAAAACAAAGCAAAATTAATACCAAATAAATTCCTATAAATAGGAATAAACAAGCTATTCTTGTACGGACGTCATATTCATTCCTGCCCTCAGATATCTGTCTTTTGTCTTGCTTGATAGCATGGCAATTTTACCTAAGAAAATACACAACTCAGTGTCGTATCCTACAGACAAAGAAATTGGCATGAATTTAATCTTGCTTTCATGTAAACTCATAAGTTAGTTTCTATTAATTATAAAAAGTCTAAATTCATTATGAAGTAATAGATCACGAATCACAGATACTTTAATAAAAATAGATGCACGTACAATTTCCAAAACAATGCAGCTATGATTAGATTTTTGCTTCAAGGCTACATGAATGTGCTTTTTCCTTTTCTTTAGCTTAAATTATGGCAACATTACTTCAATCAATTTAGATAAAGAACTACAACATCAGTTAATTTAATTAGCTTCCAGCAGCTCAGTAATTTCTAACGATGCAAAGTACACTAAAGATTTTTTTAACTGGTTGTGAATTACATTGGAAAATATTATATTATACATAATATTAGTAGTTATAATATTTGGGGTGAGTAAATCTTCCTGCAGCTTGTTTCATGTTCCATTATGAGCAAATGGCTTACTTTTGCTCACTTGGCCTCTTCCTTTGTGAAGACCCGTAATAATGAACTGCTTGCTAGAGCAGGATTAATACCCAATAAAGCATCGGATAGCGTGTCTTCATATAGCATGAACTAAAACAAGACATCACATCTGATTAGAGTTTCCAGGAGATATTGTTGTAATAATTCTAACCTAAGAAGCAAAATAGGAGCACTGATTTAACACCGAAATAGAAGCAGTATTTTCTTTGCTGTGTATGATCCACTTTTGCTGTCTCAGAAGCTGAAGAAAGAGACCTTGCTAAATATAGTTTGATTCAAGAAAGAATATGAGTAACCTCAAACACAGAAACTGCCCCTTCTGAAATCAGTGGGATATCTCCTGCTTGAATCTTGCATTTTTCTAAAGTGAATCTGGGCTGAAAGGTGTGTGGGGGGTTTATTTTCCTTTTCCCATTGTCTTTGCTCTTAAACAATCTGATGAGGAGAAACAGACTTTCTTTGACAGGGGGCAGGAACTCAGAAGGAAAAGTGGGTGGGGATGGTTGGAAAGAAAGAGGAGATAGAAATGCTTTTATTCCCCACCTTGAAGCCTTTGCAAAGGCTGCAGCAGAGGCACAATTAACTTAGAGAAATGCTAAATGACAACAAATTTGTGGAAGAAACCCAGGATTTCATTCTTTGTGCCTACTGCCACAAGTGAGTAGGACACGGGAATTCCCTATGTGATCTGCTATTGAACAGAACCCGTTTGGAAGGTAAATCTGTTGCAGAAGAGGGCGGGCAGCTGACTTCTTTCTCTGCCAAAGTATCTCCCTCTGGCCCTGCCCAAGGGACCAGAATATTTGCGCTGCGGGATGTAAGGGCGTAGTGTTTTGTGCTATGACCATGTGCTGTCCTTCCTGAAATATAAAGAAATGCTTAAAAGACATAGTAAAATGGCATTTAACAGCCGTAGGCTCCTAAATTATGTTACCTGTTCTTTATATATCAAGCCCTAACAATAGAATCAGATGCAAACCTGGTTTCCAAAGGCTGGCTAAAATATGGAACAGCTTGCATTAAGGCAGCAATAAAGCAAGCAGCATAAATCAGTTTAGCAGAAAGCTGGATACATTTTTAAAGGATGGAAAGAAAAGTCACTAGCATTGCAAAAGAGTTTGAAGATGACATATATGGTCAATTGATTTGTTTTTCTAGTTTGTGGACTAAGGATAAGGCCTCATTCGTGTTCAATGAAATATTGAGAAAAAACGACCGTGAATAAATATAAAGTGCATTATCATTATAGAGCATATGGTGTGTTAAATTATCTGTTGTGCTCTCAGAAATAAATGCAATCCATAAAATAAGCAATTGTGAAATAAAATAAAGGCTATGTTTTTCACAACATTCTAGCACATGAAAGGTAGTTGTCTCGAGTCCTTAGAATGGGCTCACATTTATTAAACGCTCAAACCTGTGCCCCATGCTCCAGGCCTGCAAAGAATGTGGGGAGGCTTTGCCAATGTTTTTAACTTTGAAATACTGAGCTGTTAATTTGAAGACATAATTCTAGTCCCTGTGAAATCAGGACATATATGTATAACCATGTTTCTATACCCCATAAGATAAACAAAAGGTCTTTAATATTATCGAAACTATTGTAACTTGATCTAGCACTACTTTCTTTAGAAGGGTAGCTGAGAATGTCGTATTTGATGTGCTGTAACTGCCGTTCCACAGTGAAGCCACTGGCAGGAACTTGGTGATCTTGTTTATACTGAAAGCAACCACTGGAAACACAGTTCCCAGAATTACGTACTTTTATTCTGTGCAACTTCGAACGAAAGGTCTTGCTTTCAAATTTCACTCACAGCTTGGTAATGTCTGAATGAAGCTCTCTAAGATGCAAAACAGCTATTTTCTGGAAGCTGATATCTATTAATAACTCCTTTTGGAAATGTATTGAAAAATGGAACAGAATAGATTGCCAGAGATTTTTGTCATTAATAAAGGAAAAGGGAAGAAGCACGATTAATATTATTAAACCCCCGAAACTTAGTAATATAAACAAGCATCACACACAAGAGTAGCCTTTTTTAAATCTACGAGAGAAAAGAATACAGAGCAAGAAAGCTGTAGTACGAGAAGCTGGGGTGAGAAGACAGACAGGTATGAAGCTCTGGGTCACCCTGTGCACAAACTTTATGAACCCCTTCTACCAGGGTAAAACCATAATATCTCCTAGAGGAATCCTTTGTCATGCATAAAGGATGTGCAATTGTTCTGCTCATCCTGAATTTGACAAGAACAAGGTGCCTGTAATCACTCCAGCCCTAAATTCAGTGCTCAGGTAGGGCACTAGAAGGGTCAAGATCAAGTTCTTTTTATTTAAGGACAGACAAATGCAAGTCCTGCAGGATGGGAATTTTACTACTGTATACCCTCTGTACCACAGAATAACTGACAGCTTTTATTCATACACTTATGAAGCAGAGGAAAAGGAGGGGGCTTCTTGCTAACCAAGTTAGAGAAGCATCCTTAATAATAATTTACAAAGAAATAAGATGTATAAAGTATATTCGGGCTATTTTCTATGTGTTTGTACATCTTGTATGTTGTAATTCAAATTGCCATTTCACCAAGTAGCACGAATTTCACGCACTATTTTTAAACTGCGGCTTCACATCAGCATTTTACAACATGAACACCACTCACTTGTTTATGCAGCTGAAAGATTAGGGGGTTTTAAGGGTACCATTATTGCTATATTTCAAAATATGGATTGTATTTAAAATATTTGCATTTTCAATATGGGTAGCACTATTTCCTAGGAGGACTTTATTCAGTAAATCCTGACCCCATGACAGGTTTGCCTGCATACTACTTTTTTTTTTTTTTTTTTTTGAATGCCATTGATATTAGTGTGCTAGACTAACAAGGAGATTAGTAGTAGAACAAAATCAAGAAAAAGATGGATAATGTGAGTACCTCTAGTATTATTGTGGGAGCTACATACATACTTGAAGAAACAGTGTAGCCCTACAGAAAGCTCCACATACAGTATATTATTATTTTTTTTAATCTTCTTAATTGTCCTTTTGTATCACTTTAATCAGCACTGGGATAACACATGATTAGTGGGTTAAAGAAAATACCCTAGCAAGGGGACCTGAAACAGCAGCTTTTACTTGAGGTCAGGCTGAGAGAAGGAATCTGCGAATATTTTAGAACTACAACCCCAGCTCAGCATCGCCTCCTGCGCACATTTTTACAGACTTCTTGAAATCCTTTCAGGAGACGAAGTCAGCACTCAGCGACAAGCAGGTCCTGTATAAAGGTGAAAACCTGCGCTGTCATCTTGCTGGGCCTGCGAGATGAATGTTGCTTTGTCATATTCTTGAATAAGGAGAAGACAGTGTTTTAAATGCAGCTGGAACGAATGTCAGTAGCTCAGAAGGGTCGGCCTTCTTGCAGACGTGCAAAAACAACCGCTGCCAATTTAGAAGCAGGTTGAAAGAACTAGAAAATATGGCCCTATATGTGTAAATAAATACATCTAGCAGAAAAGACTCTAAAAATCTGTTTCTCCTTCCCTGCCTGCCTGAAACTGTTTTTTCCACCGCTATGCTAGACATCATTATTAATTGCCAAAACACTGTGAAGAACGTACAGAGTCAGGTGCTAACGCGATTTCATTATTGCAGGAGGGAAAATACTGGGATCACAAGCTCTTATTTCACTTTGCCTTTTCTTATTTTCCAGCCTGAGCCCCACCAGTGCTGGCACAGAGGGGCGTGCGGAGGTCCTAGCCTCCTGCCAGGTACAGCAACCCTCAGCTGAGAAGTGGCAAGGAGCCGTCTGCGTTGCCTCGGCTGGTGCAGCACACACACACCTGATCCGAAGGCTTGTTTGTGTTGGGCTTTCCTGAAATCCTCTTGGCGGTCTGTAGAGCTTATCCACTCCTGGGTTTGCCGCTGCCACTCTAGTGACGTCCTAGCTTGTCGGTCCAGGGAGCTCTTTGTTTCATCTACGTTCGGTGCATGCTGCCTCTCAAGAGAGCTTCCTTTCCTCTCTGCCGAGCCTCCGCGCTGGCCGGGGACTATTTGCTGCCTTAAACCCTGACCAGGGGGCGGGTCGGGTGGTGGTGGAAGATCTAAAAAATGTGAATAAGATTTAGATGAACTAAGTTTTTTCATTGAAACAGAAGGTCTACTTGATGCTGAAAAGAAAAGTCCCTTGCAAATGGCACGAATAACTTCATTTGCTGATTTTAAAAGGAGGAAATTTCATGTTAATGAGAAATGTGTTGCTAACTTCCGCTAGCTTTTTATTCAGGCTACTGTGTTGCTAGTTCTTTCTAACGTCCACAAAAATCAATACACTCCGAACCCTGACTTACATTTTTAAGCATGGGATTTATTTTCTGTGGGCTGTACTCCAGCTGGCTCTTTCAGTAACAGCAAGCAGCTGAGAAAAGCTATGAAAAACTCATCTCCGCCAGTTGACAATTCCCCCCATCATACTGGGGCTTGCTTCATCACCCCCATTTTTGGGCTACACTTTCAGCTTGGCGTTTAAACTCAAAAATCTAAATACACAACTTTATCAAAATGAATAAAATTCCACAAAAATTTGGGGAAAAATTATTCACAAAACCTACTGTCATTGAAAAAGCATCAACACATCTGTGAAAAATGCATGTTTAAATGGAGCCACCAAAAATGGGTGAGCATTTTATTCAAGCACTATTTGAAAGTTCAGCCGAGAGCTAGAGTCTTTACAAAGAGGATGGCCACTTTTAAGTTTAGCAGTCTTGCAAATATAACCCATCAAAACACAATTTCAGCTGAACACTGAAAGACTCTTGCCTGGTCTCCAACAACTCCTGTCCTTTCCAAGTTTATCACTTGGACTACTAAGATGCTTGTAGAATTGAAGATCAAGCTTCTTATCACATTTGTGGAGGCAAAAGTACATTTTGTTTATTAGTTCTTGACCGAAGGTATTACAGAATCTGGATAATTATAATTCCAAATGTAAGATTTTCATGTAAACTATATGATAGACTTCTAATAGCCCAGAAAAGTCTCAGATTGTTTTAAAAAACCCTAACAAACCAACAACCAAAAATGGAAAAGGGAAGCACCACTAGCATTGTAATGAAAACTCTCCTATATCAGGTACCTATTTTATACATAGAACACTTGTTGATAGTCCTGGTTTTGGGCAATGCATCGCCCAAATAAATCTGTGCAGCCCCACCAACTTCACTAAACCTATGTTAGTTTACACTAGATATGGGTCTGTCCTGCTTTCTAGTCTTTCGTATCTTAGTGTTGTGAAGGTTTGTCAAGGATTTGAACTTCACTCGATAACAGGCATGGAAAAGTAAACCTCGGCTTTGTCTGCGGGAGAGTCTGATGTTTATAACTCTAGTGAAACTAAAATTCATTTTATCAATTGGTGAGGAGACCTTTGGAGGGAATTTATTTCGAAGTCTGTAATCCAGCTTTATATAATGCTACACAGACTTTTTTTTTCATGTCCTTGCTGTTAAAGGTGATACTTATACCTCATATATGGGGCAGAAATGCTTCCAAAGTTGCTGAGATGTCATTCCAGGCGACATTGTCTTTTACAGATAAAAATGAGGACTTCTGGGTTATCTGTGTCTACAAGGGAAAGAATTTGTATCTGATGTTGCTCCTGTACCTTGTTCACAGCTGAAGTGCTATACCCCAGATTAAGATATCTATCTTCTTGCTAGAACAGCCTTATAATAATCTGTCAGTGAGCTTGGTGTATGCTTTATGTTCAGCACTAATTTATTTGAAAAATTTTTAGTTATGAATATAGATGTGACCTTTCATGACAATGACTATACTTGAGTTACTGTAGGTGGAAGCAGGAGGGTATGGGTGCTTGCCAATGTTAAAATTGCTTTATAGTGTTGGCTTCCAAAATGGCATTTCTTATAATTGATTTTATTGCGATCATAACCAGTTAATGTAGAGAACCACAACACTGGCATCTGCTTACGCAATCTGAAATAGAGATTACTGAAGTTGTGATTTATAAGCACTTTATGGAGATGCATTGAATCCAATAAACACAGTCATAACATGACAACTGACAAGGCAATTTTCCAAGATAAAATATTTACCATTCAATATAAACAAATTTTTAAGCAGTATCATAGCAGACAAAAAAAAAACTATTGCAGTGGTAAACTTCTTAACATACAGCACCCTTCTTCAGAAATTGCTGTCTGTTACTAATTAGATACCGAGAAGGAAAGAAGTTTTGTACTTAAACTGACAGTACTGCATGTTCTAGAGCTAGCTGCAACTCCTGGAATTACTGTAGACTTATAGTGCTGACGTATTGCTAACCTGATTCTTGCTCTTACTGATCCACAAAATGGGCACAATGATTGCCTTATGCATAGAAGTGAAATGAAAAACCATGTTTGTAAAGTTCTTTGGGTGTTCTAGATCTGTGGATGAGTTGAGTTGAAATGAAAAATAAAATTTATCTACTGAAGCTTCACACAATTCTAGAAGAATTAGAGGTACTACGGAATTAATACAAGCTGGCTCCAGCCTGAGTACAGACTTACTGAACTGTGTTAGACATGTCTGAGAAGATCTGTAAGAACGGTTACTAATTCTAGCCAACCATCACCTGACTAAACTGTTTGCTTTTTCACCTTCTTACTCAGGGTAATTGTCACAGTAACACCTACCTTTCCTTTTTAATAAAAGAAGCTGGAAGAGAGCTTCATTTGGCAATGTGGCTTTTTATTTGCTCTACAACTTAAATCTTGTAGTGTAAATCATCTGCTTTAGGTAAATTACTAAATATGCTCTGTTATCTTGCCTGGGCATAAAGACCCCGTGTATCTGGCTTCATGAGTTTCTTCCTCCAGTGCCACAGAGAACAGTTTCTCCTCTCCTCTCCTCTCCTCTCCTCTCCTCGTCACTTCCCAGCCAAACATGTCCGTATGTGACTGTGCTCATGTCTCCACATACACTTGCAAGTGTGCACATACATGATAGTTAATGGTCAGCATTTTGACAGCTAGTAAAGGGGAAACACGAGTTAGTAGTCTCAGTCCCTAACAGGCCGACCTATTACCACATAGAGGCAATTCCATCATGTCAATCACTTCAGAGAAGTTTTGAATCTAGAAATGTAGGGACTTAGTAGGATTTTCAGTGAGGACACCCAGAGTGGTATCACTGATTATCACTGTACTTCCGTCTAAATGACATTTATCTTCCAGGTGCCAGGTAAAACACCTGGAAACCCACACTGAGCTAGTAATTTACTAGGCCAGTGGGATGTCATCCAGACTACCACTTGCAGCCTCTAACGGCAGGATTATCAAATCTGCAAGGCAATTGATAAGTGCATTGGTGGGGAGGTGATGGTCTTACTGATTTAGTAATGGAGGGATTGTGATTGAGAAGCTGTAGGATATCAGGGTGCCTGATAAGAAGCAGATGGATGTTTGGCCTGGGATTACTCCAGCCCTCCTTTAGAAGGCAGAGCATTGGCCAAATGATTCAGGCACAGCCAAGCTTTGGCACAGCCTCTCACTATTAACTGCAAAAAGCAGCAAGTTGCAGAACCTACAGTATAAGTATAAGGACATCCCTTTCTACCTGTGCCAGTGATTTGGTTTTCCTAAGGGTGATAGTTACTGTGATATTTAATAAGACTCTGAATCATTTTTCTAGCATCAGAAGGTAAGTATCTTCTCTACAGTGATCTACCTTAGCAAATATTGATTTTTAATACACGATAGCAAGTCAGTAGCAAAGCTAATAGAAGTCTTAAGTTCCAGTTCTCCTTTTTAACCCCTAACCATTTTTCCCTTCTGCCTCCTCTTTGGTTTTTTTTAAACATCATGCTTACCTAAGGAAGAGCTTTTAACTTCAGTCATTCAGTTACCATGCCACCACCTATATGACAGATTCCACTGTTTTGCAGTTCATGAATATATTGTTTCCAGGAAAATAAATTTTTCCTTGAGCACTAGAACTAAAAACCTCCTATTTCCTTTTTATGGTGGACTGTGAGCTCAGAATGAAGGTTTTCATCCCCTGAGGCATTCATAAGGTATTCTTCCTCTGTGGATTTGCTGTTGTCTCTGTGATCTTTTAGGATGTGAAAGTTAAAAAGCAAGTTGTACAGCAAGACAAATATGAAGACTCAATCTACAGTCAGTATCTAGAGGATTCTGACCTGAGACCAAAGAAAATGAAGAAGCAGGCTTTTAGGGAATTTGTGTGGATTGCTGTCAAAAGTAATCATGAAATTGTACCCTCATATGCTTACATAGCCTGGGATCTGTACGCTATGCGTTAAATATTACAGTTTCTTACATCTTTTGCACTGTCCCACATAGTTACAGTTAACAAGGAGGAAGTGCTCAGGATGTGTATGGGAAAGGGCAGAGAAAGGACATGGCTGGAGCTTAGCTGGTCAATGAAAATTTAAAATGACAGATATCCAGTATGTGATGAGACTTAAACACAGGATGCTAGGACTCATCCAGCTTGGGAATTTGAAGGTGACTGACAAACCAAGTATGTTCTCATATGACAAATCCTAGAGGAAGCAGTTGTAAGGGAATGGATTGGAGACATCTCAAAACCAGGAGAAAACGCATAGTGATGCTTCCCACTGAAATCAGGACAGCCCAGGGCTGAATGGACCAGACTGGATTAGGGCTCAGTATTGCTGGATCTATCCCAGATTGTCCTACTTGATTTTTCTAACCACAGCTTAAGCATAGTGCTATTGTCAGTCTTTGCAAAGTTCATTGCAATATTCCACACAAAACATCCAGTTACCATTTTCAATTTCTATATACCAGAGGTTCCTAAATTCAGTTTGTTTACATACACACAGGTGGCAGCAGCAATCTTTAGCTTCCTTAATTGACAAATGCTCTTTTGCAAATTTAGCTATGACTCAGACTTGCCGTTACACATTAATGACTCATATTCAGTAAGAGTTGAAGGGGAAAAATTGCACAATTTGTGTATGTTTGTTCTTGAGGATGAGAAAGGATCTTCTATTACTCCAGGACTTTATAAATTTTTTGAACATATAGTAAGCACTTCAACTAGGTTTATAACAGACCAATTATTACTGTATAATTGTAAATTATTATATTAAAATTATTAACAGACAAGCTTTATAACAGGCTAATGGGGTCTGAAAGTTGTTATGGTTACTGCCTGTGTCTGAGAGGTGGATTGTTGAAGGAAATAGTATATCATTGCTATTCTGACTCAAATATATGAAAGAAACTCCAATAAGATTAACTTTTTGTAAAGAATAAATAAAAGACAATAGGAGATTCTTCTTTTTAAATACATTTTAAAATCTGATCTCTTTCACTAATTTAAAACAATGCCAGATTTTATGATAGAGTCACTCCCTGAGGAGTCACACTTCCATCTGTCTTATGACCTGAACTGGATTCCCACTAACTTTCTGGTACCCACATTATTGTTAAACATTTCTATAGCAATCGTACTCAAAAGCAGAAGGATTAAGGGCCCACAATACTGAGTGCACTAAAAACTCACATATACAGAGAATCTGTGGCCCAAAAGCTCACAGTTCAGGGTGACAGGATACGCCACACAGAAGGGATGACAACGTATACAGAGAAACAGTATTGCCAGCACCACAAGCAACACCCACAATTTCCAGTTACTATTCTCTTAGACACATCTGTTTAGTGGATCTGTGTAGCAGGTAGGCCTCTGGAATATATCCAGAAGGGGAGAGAATTAATGTTTAAACCAATTCAGATCCATATGAGTGGAGTCTAAGCTACTTTAAGCTGTTTCCCCAAATAATATGGTAGTGAGGCTGTGCCATAGAGCATGAGATGTAACGATAACCCCTTTGGAGAACACTTTCACTTCTGGAATCTGTTCTCCACCTTTGTGGTCTGAAAAACCAGGATTCTGTCAGACCACACTGCAAAATTGTATCTGTACACCTGATAACATGACTGAGAGGAGAGCTCTGGTGGTTTTAAGTGGCCACAGTCCACCTTGCAAGCTGTTAATATATTTAATGCATGTACCTGACATAATAAATAGCACATTATAAATAAAACAAACATACTCTCTATCAAATCTATTTATTACGTTACCTCTCCGAAGAAGATAATGGAGTTGGACTTGATGATCCTTATGGGTCCCTTCCAATTCGAGATATTCTATGACTCAAGTAATTTTTACTAGAATAAGGAGGATGTTTATACTAAAATCTAAAGTTTGTTGGGGTTTTTTTAATTATTTTTACACCTTTCCCATACACTAGAAGATTTGTCAAAGTGTACTTAAGATTAGGAGATAGACTCACTGGCATCACACCCACTCCCATGGTCCAGCGAGTGTCACGAGAGCCACTGAGACAGATGGGACAGTCTAGCTTTCAGAATTGCCCCGCTTTGAACACTGAAAGAGAGGTCAGCATGAGGAAAGTGATCACATCTCCTTCTGCCTGGCATTACAGATATCCTTAGTGGTTCTTTTAATGCTGTTTTTCCATTTGCCTGCTTCTCCCCTCTGATCATTTCAACACCTACAGGGGCCAGGCCAGAGATCAGAAGAAATGAGGGGGAGGTAGCCAGCCAGGCACCTTTATATCTGGTCCTTCTCAAAGAGTAACAGGCAGCAATTGCATCTTTGGTCAAGCTCAAGAGGGGGTAGACAAAGATAACGGAAGACTGAGATGATCTTAGTCATTAGAGGAGCAGAACAGACATGCTTGATGGGAAGCAGTGGTCAGAGAGAAGTGGAGATGTCAGAGAGGGAAACAAAGTCACTGAGGTCAGTGGAAGTCAGGAATGAAGCAGCATGGACAAGAAATGAGGCAGAATCATGTGAAAAGTATGGCACGTATTGCTGTAGCTGTTGGGTGGCTGTCAAAATCAGCACAAACCAAACAGCGTTGTGGGACTAGCTCTGTGCTTCTCTTCTCCTTAGGAATTCATGGCATACTGCTATTGCTGGTGGTGGCTACTTTCATTTAATGTAAAATTACCCACAGGCCATTTTTTAATGTCAACTCATATGCAACACAGTCATTTTTGGGTAAGAAATATACTGAGATCTGAGAAAACCTAAGAGATGCTAACATGTTCAGAGCTGAAACTAAGAAAGGCTCCTTGAAGACTCTTTGCCAAGCTCCACGCTGCTCACGTTGCAACATTGCTCACATGGCAACCTGGGGACCCTACTACACACAAATAGTTCACCATAATGTATATTCTTTAAAAGATTGCCCTGTGTTCTCCCACTCTGCACACCTGCTTGTTGCAGGTTATCATCAGGGACGTCACCCCAACACTTACCGTCTGTTACTCCCTCCCTACGATGAGGCAGGGGGGGTTGGTCCAACCGTCCTCCCTTGTGTTTTTTAGTGGGCCTCGGCCTCTGACTCTGATTGACAGCTGCACTGGTGTTGCTGTCAGTAGAAAAAGGACTGCTCGGCCGAGGTCTCTGAGAGGAAGGATATGGTTTGCCTAAAAAAAAGAGAAACCAGATGAAAAAATGTTATTGCCTTGAAACGGGCTGTTCTATTAATGTCTGTTCCAAAACATTAAATCTGGTCTAATTCTCAGAGGCCAGCAAGTGTCCCCTCGAGGTACCCACTGATGACAACTGCTTTAAGACACACCACAACAAGCGAAGTGAGAAAACTTGGCATTCTTTTGTCTTTAACTTTTATAATTAAACTCATTCCATCTGTTGTGATAAAACTACTGTATGCCATGTAACTCCTACCTGCCCTGTGTGCTGAACAGATGTGTCATAACAACTCCTCAGCCTTGAGCAGGGAAGGAAAACAGTTCTGCAATCATATCAAATTTATCTCCTCCTGCCTTCCACCTTCATGTTTGCGAAGCCAGATTCGCATTTTAGGAGCTCCCATATGCACTGTATATCTGGAGTAACTCCAGTGAGATAAACATAACAGATTTTGCAAGCTATGTAGCAGTGTAGGTTTGTATACTTAAGGGCTCTCTTTTCTCAAGAAATAAAAAAGGGGGTATATTTAAATGCTAAAATTTTCCTGTTAATTTTCACTATTTTTATATGTTAAAAAAATAATGTATTCCAACTGAATTTCTTACTCAGATTTGAGTGTATATATATATACACACAAACACACTAATATATATATATATATACTAATCAAGCTACATGATCTCTACTAAAAATAATATCTTTGATGCTATTCTATGGAGTAGATTATTAAAAGCATCACGGCAGGAACCATAGAACCACAGTTCATTTACTACATTCACTCTTTCTTATTTTGATATATTTATTCAGTTAATGTAACTAGGCTTATTGTTTAATAACAACTGATGAAAACTAAAGATCACCCTCTTTTACTTTCTTTTTTTCATTTGTATGTCACTCTTATCAAGTATCTTGGGGATGTTAACATTTTAATTCATTTAGAACTGGTACTTAAAATTGTTACTTGTTTTAATCCCATCTGCAGTGGAAAATGTATAAGCCAGTCAGAACTTCTTCTCTTTCAGTGCTACTGTAGGCTAAAATGTTGGAAGAGTTGATGGAAAGTGGCAAAATGGCTGTTTCTCATTTTTCTGGTCAACTGAATGCAAGCTCGTAAGGAGCTTTTTTATGTTCTGGTTAACTTCGACCAGGGTCTACCCTGCTGTGAGTTGTCTTCTAGTAAAACCTTTCAAGAGATGTGCTTACGTCTAACATGCCATCTCCTATGACCTGATCTAGACAGGCCTAATCAGGAGTAGTACGCTACCTGCTACACTATTTAAAATATTCTCAGTGCAAAGAAGACAAAGTGAAAAAATTAACCATAATCTCTCTAACATGGTGTTTCACATGAATACATTCATGTTAGAGTAACATCTCAGTATTTGACTTCGGAGATTTCCTGACTGTCTCAGGCTTGATCTTCTACCTTCTGACTGATGTGCACCCTGAGGAGGACACTGCTCTTAGGCAGGCTTGTCTCCCATGTCACTGCCAGCTATTGGAGGCTACCACATTTGAACCCCTCATGTGGACGTTCCCTAACTCTCCTCTACCAAAATAAGCCCCGTTGAACTTAAACGGTATGAAAAGTATGCCAGCTAACCTGGCTCATTTTAACTGAAATGAGTTACAGCACGCCCACCCAAGCAGCTAATTCTGGAACTGGGAGAAAGCAGCAATGAGCACTTGGGGGAAGGCTGAAAACATTAACCTCTATAGCTGGCACAGCTGCAGCCAGACAAAGACAAGTGATCAAGCCCTTGTTTCATAGATAAGGATAAAAAAGCAGATGAACACAGACAAAATATTAAAATTTCATTTAAAAATTAAAAAAAGATCACTAATGCAAAGAAATTGAGATATGAGCTTGAAATTCCATCCTAGCTCACAGCACATTGCACAGATGTTTTGCAAAAATAAACTCGCAACGTGCAAGTGCAACTGGTGAGTGCAGGATGAAGATTCTGCACACTTATTCTCTTGACTAAAGAAATGTGATTATTCATTCAGAATGTTGGTTTGAAAAAGAAACAGATACCAAACATTCTCTCATTTATCCCTCCATGAAAATGAGGGAAAATAAATAGCCCTGACCTAAATCTGACATGGGGCAAACACAAACGATGTGCAGGCTCCCAAAACACATTTTTCAATGCACCTAATAACTGATTACAACACCTTGTATTTGCATGGAGCCCTTCCAGTAAGAACTGCTGAGCAGCATCAGACTCTCTGTAGTAGATTTAGTGTGTGTAAGTGGAGACAAGGATGAATCCGCTAATTCTTGATTTAATTTCCCAAGGGTATTAAAAGGGAAACTATCTGAACTTCATGGCAAATCACACGATGGCTTCTGAAAACTGGAATCAAAGTGTCTGGCAGGATTTACCAGTGTCTCTTATGCTTGGCAATCAAACACACCCACGTGAGGCTATCATGCTGGACTTCTCCTTTCATACCAGTGAGAATATTTCACAGCTGTTCTGAATGGGTGAAAATAAATGTCCAGACTGCAAAGGAGTAAAGAGTCAGGACCTTCAGACTCGCTCCAGAGCAATGAACAGAAATAATACTGCTGCTTCTCCACTTTGAGGCACCATTTTACACAAAGTAGGGTTTGCTGTGGTGCAGGAGGTCGGTAATAGGCATGTCTGATTGATCCACGCTGCCCTGGGAGGTACCATGTCGTAATGAAACTGCAGTAAGCATGGGGGAGTTATTCCCATTTGCTGAGGTTTTTT